AACCCAGGATCATCCCATGAAGCAGATTGGTGCGAGGTCCTTTATTCGTCCTAAAAGAAAGTACTCCTTCACACAGTGTATAGTTAAACTATGGGATTTGCTGCCATGGGAAGTGGTGATGGCCACCAATCTGGGCGGCTTTAAAAAGGGACTGGATGGATTCATGAGGGAGAAGGCTCTCCGTGGCTACCAGCCTTGCTGGCTCTGTGCTCTCTCCTTCACCAGAGGCGGCCTGCCTGCAGACACCAGTTGCTGAGGAGCTTGGGCAGGAGGAGATCTTGCACCCACCCTGCTTGAGGGATCCTGTGGGCAGCTGGCTTGCCACCCTGTGCACAGAGTGCTGTAATAGCGCTGATCCAGCATGGCCTTTCCTTGGTTTCTATGTTGTAAGTCTCGTACACTGAAGCTTAGGTATTGGGGCAAAATAGGAAATGACATCACCCTACTCCTATAGCATTGTTATTGTTGCTGTTATGCTGCCCAATAGTCAAAGCTCCCAGCAGCATATAAACACAATAAAAACACAGGTAACAGGAAACATAATAGGAATTAAACTGCAAAATATAAAAGGCAGGTTCAAACCTGAATTTGAACAGCTACAACAGAAAGAAATTAAATAATCAATAATCAAGCTGTGTATTTTGGTAAGGGATACATTTTGGGAAGATGGAGCTGAGATTGTTTAAGGCAGGTGAGGTGGTTGGGAGATGCATGCCTATGCCACAGCCAACAGGGGTCTTCCCAGGACAAGGAGGGTCCACAAACTCTGGGTAGGTCTTGGCTTGTGAGGAAGGTGGCAGGGAGTGAATTCTCCTGACTAAGCTCGGGTTCTTTGCTGTATTTTTCCTGCCTGAGCCAATGCTCAGCTAGGAAATAGGCAAGGCTTGCTGCTCAGCACTAACCTAGGACAGGGTGGCAGAGTTAAGTTATAAAAGCAAATACTAGTAGAAACTCAAAGGCAGACAGATACTAACATTGCTACAGACATAGCACCAGCCAGTACTACAGAGAAGATAGACCTAGATGATGTCAATACTCCTTCCCAATGTTAGAAGTCCATCTATTATTTAAGTAATCAACTCTAAGCAGTGTTTCTTTAGGAACTCTTACATTTCTGTCCTTTATGGGGCCATAAATTCTGAAGAGCATCGTAACAAGCATGCCTGGGATAGAGATTTACCACCTTGTGCCCTACTCATGATTATGCACATATCTGAATGTGCAAAAAAGAAAAGAAAGAACAGATAAGCTCTCATTTTGCATGCGATGACTTTCGGGTTCAAGGCCAAAAGTACTGGCTGAGGAATTCAACCAAGACTGAGAACAAATGAGAAAAACTGCATAATGAAGAAAGTGCTTGGGAACAGAGAAAACATGATGAGGCTCTTATTAATGAAAACAGAGTGTTTGCCTTAGAATAGGCTATTAGATTGCCTTCTCCAGATGAGCTTGCACAAGGTGAATGCTAGAAATTGGAGAAACACAAGTTGGAAGGTCTGCAGGCTAAGCTGTGTGGATCGGGGGACAGAGATAAAAGAAGGCCTTGTATCTTCCCATGGTTTTCCTATGAGCATCCTCATGTTCAGTCCCTCACATTGCCACCTTTACTTTCAAGCTGTTTCCCTCTACAGGTTTCAGGTATGTGTATTTATTTTAAGTTTTTGTATCCTGCCCTTTACAGTGTCTCATTTATACACTCATGCATATGTGATTTGATAATCATCGTTCATGGGCATTTAATTGCTCTAGACTTAGAAGCAACATCCCACAGTTCCTGTGACATGGTGCAAAATTTGCTTCTTTTTTTAGCTGAAATTTATTCATCACGTTTTGATATTGTCCAATAGCTGGACAGTTCATAACAGTTATAGCATAAAATACAATTATGATGATGACAACAACAACCCGGTATAAAAATTAAACTTTTAAATTTCAGTATAAAATAGAAGTCAAAGCTAACATAAAACCTAAATTTTATCCAGTAGTTATGATATTAGTCTTCTACAGGCTTAGATGATGTCTCATTACCTGTGATTCTCCATGTTCAGGGTATAGGAAATCTGACTTTACCCTACCCTAGTCCGAGCTTTGTTCTCCTCCTGAGAAAACAAGCTGGCTGGTAAAACTCCAAAAAAGGCCACAAGCCAATTTTAATGTCCACAGTTACCAGAATGGACCACTCCAAGTTGGGTAAGTGGTATTTCTTCATACTTTACTTTGGGAGTCTTCTTATGATAAACCTAGGACCTCATGACCTCAGATTTGTGTTATTCTGTCACAGCACACGCACGGCAATTTTCATATTTCTCATCATGACCTAGCTTTTCTCACTTGGATTTCAGATGGCTACCAGTCAGAGAAACAGAGGTGTAAGAAATTTCTGAAGACATCAGTTTCAGCTTCAACAGCAAAAGGTTGCAATCAAGTCCATCCCAACAACACAACACAACTCCTCCTCCTCCTTCTCTAAGACTATCACAGTATCTGCATAGGACTCCCTTCCCACATCCCCGATTTTTCACTAATAATACAGTGAAGCTTCAAGACCAACACATTTCTGAAATGCAGGCAACAAATATTTTGTATTCTTTCACCATGTGGAGGCAGGTCAACTTCTTGTTCTTGTTGGCCATTTGAGAAGGCCCAGGGACCCACCTTGCTTCAGCTTTATTTTTCAACCAGAAGGATCCCAAAGTCTTCTGCAAACACTTCTATGGTCAAAAGAATGCAGCCAGTTCTGGGCTAAGTTAAACCAGCAGCTGATGCTTAGGAGTTGTTTAAAATAGAGCTCTCTCCAAGTATTCACATTACATGCAGTAACTAGCAAAGGCCTATTTCCTAGGGGAATTGAAGCTCTCTGGTTTATACTTAACATGCTGATTGCCAGAATTACAGGATAGCTGTGCCGGGAGGAGGGCAGAGAATTAGATTCTGTCTCTAATTAGATGTTTGCTCTTCATTTGAATTTCAGATGCCAGCTTTAATTTTAGAAACTTTCCCAGGAAGCAAAGTGACTTTCCCTCACAAAAGTGCACCTGGCTCCTCCAGGCTTTGTCTGATGGCCTGTCACCAAGTGAGCACAGAGTAGGACAAGCCACTGCTCCCTTTTCCCCCGGTCCGAGGGATAGTTCCACTGCTTGTTTGTTTTCTAGTCATCGTGAAAACAAAGGGAGTCTTTTCAACCTGTCAAAGAGTCAGTAGCAGTGGACAGGAAGTCCATGCCCAGAACTCTTGGGCTCCAACCTAACCCACCAAACATAGGGCCACGCAATGTGGAAAGACCTTTTAGAACAACTGCTTCTTACCTGGGACAGAGAATTGTCTCTTCCAGACAGAAATCAAACCATGCTGGGATGATCAGCCAAGAGGGAATATGTGACAGTCGTATGTTTGATTATGAAGATTTGGCAATGTCATCATCATTACCTGAGACCAAATGTAATCTTGTACAGAGTCTTGGGCAACTGAGGAGCTAGAAAGCTCTTCTGTCCGGCTTGCAGATAGTGAGAGGGCAAGTTTTCACCAGCCTCTGCATTCTTAGGGCAGATTATTTTAAAAAGGGGAATGCTGAAAGTCTGATGGACACGACCAGTTAGAGTTTCACAGTGCAATTCTGTGTATGCCTACCCAGAAGGCCAAACTGAGTTCCACTGACTTTACTCTCAGTTAACCATGTTCCATTCCCTTCCCCAGTCAGGCCTGCTGGCTACAACTCCAATCATGCTCAGCCAGCATGCCTAATGGTTAGAATAGCTAGTGTTGGTGGATGCTGCAGTTTCCCCTCACACCTGGAGGGCACCAGGTTGGGGAAATCTGGCATACCAGATTGCAGTCTCTGTGTGAATTCAGTATTTCCTACTCCAAAGCAGTAACACTGAAGGTCTGGACATGGAAAAAAAGGTGCAGCAGCCTAGATTCTGTTTTTCCGTTAGTATCTGAAATGCAGCTCTACTATTCAAGGCTTTTATAAACCATTCAATTAATAGACAGCTCTCAGAATGGTGTATATATAAATTAAAACAGTCTAAAAACATAATATACAGACAGTATATCACAGGGCAGTTAACCTCACTGGAACATGACATCCACAATACTAACAAATAGTAATGATAACATATAACTCAAGAATAAAACAAAATAATAGAATGCTGGTGACCATATAGATAAAAACCAACATAAAACCCAATGACACTATTTAACAATTGAAATGCTGGGAATATTAAAAAAAAAAGGTTTTAACCTGACACTGAAATATATTGGCGCCAGGCACTCCTTTCCAGAGAACTGATTCCATAATTGGGGCACCGCAGCCGAGAAGATCCTTCCCCTGGTGACCACCTTCCTTACTTCTTTTAGAGGTGGCTCCTTAGAAGATGACCTGGGACCTCAGCAGTGTGGTGGATGGGAGGGGAAGCAAGTTGAGGGGAGGGGTGCGAGCACTTCCCATCATGCACTAACATTCTCGACCAATTTCACGCTGATATCCCACGCCTAAATCTTGCTTGAGTCAGTCTCCTCGAAAACTACATTTCTCATGGGCTTGCTATTGTTCACAAGCCTTCTTGGGAATGCTTCAATGCTTCTTAGATGAACACAGTTAAAAGCAAAGCAAAGCAAAAAAAAGCACAGCAAGGCAAAACAAAAGCAGAAAAAATAGTTTTAAGCAGCCAAAGAAAGCTGCCAAATCTATCAGAAACACAGACACAAATGCAATCCTGTTTTGACTCCACCCCTCATTGTCAAGACTGATGAGCCATTCTTCTCCCACTTCCTATTCTCCGAAGTGCTGGGAAATAATTGTTAGAAATTAAAAAGAAGTTCTTAACTCCATAACATGCTGTTCGTCACCTTCAGTGTAGACTCTGCATTTAGAAGCCAGTAAAGTAAGGGTGAATATAGAACTGGGGCGAAAAAGATGGTGCCATTCTAACTCATACAGATCTACACAGAACCCATTCCCTGTATAAAGCACAAGTGCCAGACAACTGGAAGATACTTACGTATTCTGTGTCAGCCTTGGAGTCATAGTATTCAATATCCTCCTCCTGTGGAATAAAGGATAAAGATGTGATAAGTACAGAACAAGGTCTGGGGGGAGATGCAATATGACTACTCCAGTAAGGTTACCAACTTTTGCTTTTAAAATGTCTGCTATTTAGGTGACCTTCCTGGTGAATCCTAGCAAATTAGAGGCAAATCTCAGAGCAAAAGCTTCTGGCTCACTCCCAAAGCTGGTGTGGAGAGTGTGGCCCTGGGTTCCACTAATGGAGACTGGTGGTGCTAATGTCAGTGGTCTGTGTATCCCCAACCTATTTTGTTCTGGGACTTTGTTCAGAACCATGGACAGCTCCTTTAAAGTACAGAGCCAGTCCAGGGCAGATGCAGCCCACTGAGGTTGGACCCACCAGCCTTGACGGACAGGTGAAGGGGCCGTGCAGGGAGGCCACTGTGATGGGAGTTTCCACAGAGCCACATCTGCCCCCCCCACCCCTTGCTTTGGCTTTTGGTTTGGCCTTTGGCTATGCTGTATCTCTTGCCTCAACAGAGCTAATAGAGCAGAACAACTACGGAGTAGCACTCACAGGGACAAGCAGCAAGTGCCTGCTGGCACTTTCACACATGTCTATGCAGTGGAAGCATGTACACAAAATGGAAATGTTTCATGTTTTCTTTGATTTAAATAACAATTCTGTTTTTACCTACAAATGTCTGGCAATCAAAGACATCATTGATAAGTTTTACAGAAAAAGCCACCAACTCTGAGATAAAGAAGGAAAACCAGCTGGGCATTTTTTCCTCCATCCGTTGGCAATGCCAGTGCTCAGCTAGACAATTACTGTTTGCTAGATCTGGTAAGGACAATGCTTTTCCATGAACAAATATTGAGAATTTTTTCACTGGCAGAGCTACTTTAAAAAAACAACTACAGTTCTTTGAGTATGAACCATAGTGACATTAATTATTCTTATGCCATTTTTTCTAGGGCATTTTTACTATGGATGGATGAATCTGTCTCTTTCTACTCTATGAAAGTTCCACATGTTTTTACCCATACTTCTGTACCATTCCCTTTCCATATTACTCCCCAGATTTTTTTTAAGTTCTTCAAAATTCATATTTAAATAGGTCTTTCCATATGTATCTAAACATACATTTTCTTTCAAAGCATGTATTTAACTGCATACCTTGATAACATTCAACTACTGAGAAATGTGTTGACATGTAGAGAGATGAAAAACCTATGGATAGCAGAGTTCCAATAGAACATCAGTCCAAGCGGCACGAGTCGGGACAATTGCACAGGAATTCACAACGCCAGAACTCCTGAAGCTTCTCTGGCATTTATGTCTAAAAAAGACTGAAGTGGACTGAAGAACCTGCTTCCGCTCCTCGACAGCTCTTGAGTGGAGACACTCACTTGCCAACTGGCAACTCAGCACAGTTTGTGTGCAGTCACTTGGCAAGCCTGTTGGGGGCATCCCTCCTATTTTGCCAATGGATGAGGAGCATCAGCTCACAGAGGTTTCTGAGGAGCTGAAAAATGCAGCAAATCTTTTCTTACTGCTCACAGGGCAATGCAGATGGCCGGCTAATCTGGGAGTTACTACGACGGGCAGTGTCTGTCTCTCTAGGATTTAAACTAGGATGTTTTTCCTAGCTGGAGTTCCCAGAAGCTGAGTCAGAAAGTCTTGCCTGCAAAGCTGATGCTCTGCCACTGAGCTACAGCTGCTCCCTGGTCCCGCTGGCAAAGAAGCAGCCTTTAAACGGCGGGACGGAGCTGGAACATGTTGTTCAGCGCTCGATAAAAAGGCATCTGCCTTCATCCAATGCTTGTCACCAGGCAGGCTGTGACATATCTCGTTAGAAGGCTTCACTAGCTCAGTTACAAGCAATGCAGGCAGGGATGTAGGGGCTGCGGTTCTAGATCTGTGCTGTGGCATGGAAGGCCACATTAGAAGTTCAAAACATTGCCGATTTGTTTTCAATTATTGTGTTGTGTGGGTGTGAACAGTGGAGGATGTTGGAGATACTAAGAACCCGTGCTCCCACTCAGAGCCACTAAACAGGCAATGAAAAATTAGTAAGTTATTTCATCACTCCAGTGAAGAACTGTATGTCATTAATTTGCAGTATTTAGAGACTATTTACCCAGAAAGGCCTATTCGGATTTCTCTTTCCCAGTGCTAGGACATGCAGCAGCTGATAAAATTCATAAAGGAACAGGCAATCCAGGGAATAGTCATTCTCTCTCTCTCTCTGTGTATGTATGTATGTATCTCCATCAGAAGGGGGTAATTAAAGGGCACCCAGATTCTCTGTTCTGTATCAGGGATTAGGAGTAGAAATGCAGCATGTTCAGCACCACTCTGGCTGCTATTCGCCAGCACAAGGGAGTCACTGAAAGGCCCAAAAGACAGGACGATTCCCAAGCAAGATCATTCCTCCTGCTAGCAAAGTGGATTTCCTGCTGCACACAGACACGCTCTATGGCCATGAGTGGTTTGCTGCATAACTGAGGAATCCCTGAGCCAATCAGGAAGGTTGTGCCTAAAAACAAAGCACACAGAGCCGACCCAGCCACACCTGCGAGGACTAAGGACCGCAGGCATCTGCCACCATGGAGCACTGCTGCCATGGCTGTCCTCCACAGTAAAGCAGTGACGAGGGCTGAGGGAGTGGAAAGGCTGAGGCTAGGAGGCACTACGCTTATGCTTCACAAGTCCACCTCTAAACCATCAGGATACAGTCTTTCTCATAGCTAACTGAAGAGCCAAATCATCAAAAAAACTAGTGGTTCAAACAGGTTACTTGCAATATATGCCTGCTGAGGATGGTCAACAATTATACAAGGAAACCAAGGTACACTTAAACTAGCAGTCTCATGGACCAGTCTGGCAGTCTGAAGCATTACAGAAATTAATGGCTAGGTTCACACAACTCATACTCAACGCATATGGGTTGAGTGTGGGTTGTCATTGACCCATGGGTTGTTCGTCATGAACAACCACAGTTCACCTCACAACAACAAACCATGAATTCACTTGTGGGTTCTTTGTGTTTTACAAACCATGGCATGTGTGGTTGGGTTTACATAACACAACAACCCATGATTCAGTAACAACCTTGAGTATGGCTTGTCAGGTTGGGTGAACCCAGTGAGTTGAAGTGAATCATTTTCAAATTAAAAATGAACAGCTGTTATGAGGGACAGAGTGTGATCAGTTCCTAGGGAAGGCGTCCTTTCTCTATAGATATTGTTCTACACTAACTTTCCTCGAGCCAAAGATTTCATTAGGACTGATACTGTGGCATGGAACCCTTTTGGAATAATTCTGTAATCTAGCAGGCTTTAAACAGTCCCCTGGTAATTGGCCAGTGATTTTTCTATGGTATGTTTGAGTCATGTGCATGTTCACCTAACACAGTTGAGTACCTGAAAGATGTGTATGCAACCATTCACATGACTGATTTACTATGCAATACACTGTCCATATGGTTGTTTTCTAAGTGACAAGCCACATGAGAGGTTGAATTTATGCACTGAAAGCAGGAGAACTTCTGTAGAACCTCAGCTCTCTTTCATTCAGACCGGACCTGCTTCTCGTCCCACTTTATGCTCCTTGCCAATGCCAAGAATACACCCCACTGAAGACTGATCCCAGTCTATACCCGTTCAGCAATAGCTACTATCTGGTGAATCCCACTACCTCACTCACATGTCAACCTGCTGACTAGCCCAGTAATCCTGCTCATAATAATTTAGGGGCCGGTCTCACATCAGATACTCTTGAGAAGAGATTGATGCTAGAGGAAAGTATGGCCCTCCATTCCTTCATCATGTGGCATTACCATTCCTTTCATCAGAGTGCTCTTTATAATAGCGTTAACTGAAGCAAAAGTCCCTTAGATGACTGTTGAAGAGATACCCCAGAGTCGTTCCGTTCAGTCTAATGTCCTGTGCACAAAGCTTTAGCTACTACTGGAATGCACACTGATAGCAAAGGAACACGTGTAAGTAGCTGAAAAACTGACTGTGCAATGACTGCTGTGCAGAGGGAAAAACCACCTTCACAGACTGTTCACGTGAAGAAAGCTCCACTCACAGAAGGGGCCCTTCCCCCAGCTGCACCAGCTCCGGTCCTCATCCCCGAACATATGTACATATTTTATACATGGGCAAGCAGCTGCATAACATTTATGTGTGTGCATAGGATTCCATGAGATTAAAAATCTTGACTGCACAGGCTTCCCCAGTGCCTCAAAGCCTCCCAAGCAGGATCCCCTCTGCAGACATCTGTGTTCAGCGCACAGTAATCGGGGGCGGAGAGCTGCGCAAGTTTAGTGGCAGGACCAATGGCCCTAACCAATTGCTCTTTCCATGGAATGAGTGCCTTTCCTGCAAATAACACATGGAGGGCATTAATGAAAGGCCCAAGCATGGTTCTGGGAAGCTTGGTCAGTAGAGGAGAAAGAGATTTGTCATTTTAGCTTTGAGGATCTTCTCCCACATGTTTCTCTCTGCTCACTGAACTCAAATGAGACCACCTTGATCAGAGGCTAGATTGGCCTCTGATATTTTTTGCCATGGTGGCATTGAGTCTATGGAAGACCTTGCTTAGCCCATCTAAACAGGAATAGAGTCATAGAAACATAGAACAGTAGAGTTGGAAGGGGCCATGAAGGTTCAGCCCCCTGCTGTTGCAGGACACCAAGTTACACCATCCCACTCAGATGGCTGTCCAGGTTCTTCTTGAATGTCTCTAGGGTGGGCGAGTCATCTCCTTTAAGCATGCTTTCCCTCTCTAAATGAACCTTTGTAACCATCCAGAGACTTTTTAGTAATAGGATGGTGTATAAAAACTTTAAATAAATAAATAAAAATAAAATAAACCTAAGGATTAGGATTAGGTTCATTTAGAGAGGGAAAGCATGCTGAAAAGAGATGACTACCTCCCGCCCTCGCCCTCGCCCTAAGCTTGTCCTGGTACTCTTGGTACATTTTTCAGAGTACTCAATGAGTTAGATCACTGGATTTTTTAAATTA